AATGACCTAGTATGAGAGCCTGTTCTAGTACACCCCCAAAACAAAATCAAGACTTTGTAAAAGAGCATAATAGTCATTAGTTTTAGTCAAGTTTTGTTTACAAATTAGTTAGATTTCTCTGTTGTGTTTTTTTTTTATTTCTTTGAATTGTAATTCAGTGTTTCCTCTTTCTGACATTCCAATTCATATTCTAATTAAACGTCCTGTGGGTCCTGACCAATTTGATTCGAATTCAAGCTCATAAATTGAAAAGGATTCTTAAATTCTGAATTTTGCCCAACCGTGGTAAAGAGCATTTAAAATTCTTAAAGGCACAGTTGTACACAAAGCAGCCTGTTCAGTTCTGAGGTTCACAGAGAGGGTGGAGAATGGTCATGTAAAATTCAGTAACAACCAGTTTTGGTGCACAAAATGATATAAGTGGACCACAGGGAAAAATATAAAATGATTTTTTTTTTTTTTTTAAAGGTACAATTTAAGTTTCGCTCCCTTATTCATGTCTCACATGACAGAGTGAACCTGTGAAACAATTATAAAGGGCCATGCTGTGCTTTATTGTCGCCTTTAAAGCATTTCGAAGTAAAAGGAGCATTCTCTGTGTGTCCTGCTGGGGAACTGTCTGCTCAAAGACTCAATGGGACCAGTGGCTCTCTGGCGAGATGCCAGGCTGCTCTGGCAGAGCTCTTCTAAATTAACAGTCTCTCCGGCTGCTCCAGAGGGAGGACGTCCAGGGCCTGGTGGTCTTTCCTCCTGAGGTGTGGAGCAAATCAAGAGAAAAACTCCACAGCCTGTGAATTACAGGCTTAACAAATCAGTCAAGATTGGTTTCTCTGAACCTCAGAAGATGGGGAGACAGATATCAAGTCTGGGGGGGATACTGCCATTATGAGCTGAGCATCTGTAGGCCAATCCTCCAGCTGCACATAGTTATCCCAGAATCCACACTGAGGTAATTATCTTTCCTCCCCTGTTGTTTGGAAGGGGAGAATAAGCTTTGGAAAACTCCCAAGGCTTGGGTACATCTCCAGAACAGTCTGTCCAAGACGCATAAGATGTCTTTAAAAGGCAGAGGGGAAATAATTAGCCGCAGGTGAAAGACGCCCTTGAGCAGAGCAAATCATTTGTTTTATTTAGTGGATTTTTTTTTCGCAACAGCCATTTTAATTAGCTTTTAACTGTCAATGAAACAGTTTACAGTTGTTTTTAAGCTGTGTCTGATGCATTATGGTATATGCTGCTGTTTAAAACAAGATTAAATCATTTGCACACATGGTATGGCCTCAGACTGTTAGTTCTAGTTGAAAGCTACAATAACCATGATATTTTAAATGCTGTACTGGCTAATGAATTCACTGTGGACCCTTTTTCTTTCTCAGTGCCTTCCTGTATCTCATGTATCCATGGAAACAACACAGTCATTATGAGTCATTCACCATAACCTGTTTTTGGTCTGAATATTAAAAAAGAGGAAAATAATAACAGATAAAGCGGGCATTAGCAGTGCTTAGCTTTTAAAGTAATTGTGTTCTACTTTAGGCATTGCAAATGTATTAACATAAACTGAATTGCCTTAAAAGACGCCTGTGGTGTTAATACTAAAGATCATTAATTGAGTGCATTTACCACCATTAGGTGAAGAGATACAGGAAACAGGGACCTGAAATGTTGATTTATAACAAGACAGAGACCATTTTGTCCACATGCATATCACACTGTTCTTTATTTTGTTTTTATCTTTGTTTTCCACAGACAGTATCTTTCTCCGTGTGCAGCTGAAGTCACTATTTCAGGCTTTAGGACTGTCAGAAGTATTCCAAGCAATTTCACAACAGTCATGAGTTTACAGAGAACTGACAGTCTCTTCATAGGAGGACTTCCTCTTCTGTATCCACCTTATAAAGTAAGAGTTAATTATGTGTGTTATTTTTAAAGGGTCACATCCTGAGTAAAAGGTCATATAATGTAAACTACCATTCAAGTAAAGTAACCATTCATGCCAGTAAAGACATTTATAATGTAACAAAAGTTACAAATAAATTTACAACATCGATAATAAGAAGAAATGTTTCTTTTTTTATGTTTTTGGGGGGGGGGGAAGGTGTTTCAACTTAAAAGTGTTAATTCTGCCTTTAAAAAAAAGTTTAATCATATTGAACTGTTTTAATTGGTAAGTTATGATAGCTATCACAAATATATATATATATATATATACTGTATATATATAATTTTTTTTTAACCTGACATTAATTTTTTACTATATAATTCCACCTTGAAATTGGAGAACTAGAGTTAACACTATCTTTAGCGTTAAGATAGTGACATTACACTTTGTTAATGACTGGAAAGTTTGAAAAGTCACTGTAATTCTTAGGCCAGCTGGGAACTCTGATTATAATGTGGAAACAAGGAAAGATTGATGGTTTGCCTTTGTCATGTTACACAATGACCTGACCAGTTACCGCAGAGACACATCCGACTTAAATTGGATTAAAATGGACATGAATTTTCCAGTAATTTTCAGGTTACTAAAAATTGGTTCAGAGGGCTTCAAAGAACTGTCAAGGTCTACATATTGACAGTGATAAAGCCCTGAGAAACTAGCAGGCACACTTTTCATTTTCCTTCAGGCGGCTAGAAGCAGGTCACGGGCACTTGAGATACTGTTAGGAGAAGAAAAAGGAGAGGTTGAGATGTCTTCGCCTAGACAACAAAGATTGGATCCATATGCTTTTTTCTCTTTTCATAGCGCTGATAATGAAATAGAGGGGTTTTTTTGTTTTGTTTTTTTGTCATCAATGCAGTTTATCCTACTGGTAATGTTGTTTGAGCCATTTATGTCTTATTTGAATAATCTTTATTGCATTTAAAACTATTCAGTAGCATTTGTGGCATTTATAAATATATGTTTATTTAGTGAAATTGTCATTGTATTAATAAATATGCACGTTCCTTTATCAATTTTAAACAGATGCTAATGCTATTAAATGTTTTATGTAACACAAAAGGTGACATTTCTGAACAGTCCTTATGCAGCTTGTGACATACAACAACAGCTCATAATGTCCAACGCCTGTTCAAAAAACAAAAAAAGGCAAAAGTGAAAATTGAATCTGTGAATAACTAAAATGCAAGTATTTTCATCACACAAAGCATTGCATTGTGTCAAGACTTAGAATGTAGTGCACAAGTCATGTGAACTAATTTTGTTGATGTGTGTTTTGTCCTTGAGAGCCCTTGGTCACTATGAATTGTTGTATGGAAAGATTTCTATAACAATTGTTTAGCATATCTACTTTTATGTTCCAAAGGAGAAATAAAACAGGTTTGTTTGTTTTTTTGAACGACATGAGAGTGAATAAATAATGGCAGAATTTTCATTTTTGGGTGAACTTAATGCCTGAAAATGCAACCTCTTTGTTGTACGGCACTTTCTTCTCCCAGAATAGCTGCTTTGTAGCCATTTTTCATTTTCACCCTTAGGCCTGAGATGTTTTTCTGTTTTCCTCTGAAGAAACTGCTTGAGACTTTGTTGTTGTTCGGTGTTCCCTCAGGAAGCTGAGCCTTTCCACAACTATACCGGCTGCATTGAAATAATAGAAATTAATAAGATCAGAAGATTCCGTGTGGACCATGCCATTGCCAGGAACAATGTTGACAACTGCAGGTAATTAAACCTGATTTTGCATCAGGAATCAATACAGTTTTGGGGCAGTGTTTGGAAGTCTAAATTCATTTGAAACGATTCATATTAGTGAGTCAGTTTGCTCAAAAAGAAATTATTCTCTGATTTGTCACAGTAAAAATTCTAGTGTAGCATTTGTACCTTTGCAGTTCATCACTGTTTTCAACTCTCACATCATCAGCATATTAGAATAATTTCTAAAGGATCATGTGACTCTGAAGACTGGAGTAATGGTTGCTGAAAATTCAGCTTTGTGATCAAATAAATTAATAAATTACTATTTAAAATATATTAAAATAGAAAACAGTTATTTTAAATTGTAGTAATATTTAACAATATTACTGTTTTACTGTATTTTTATCAAATAATTGCACTTTTTTCAAAAAGATAAAAAAATTCCCAACTCCAAACTTTTGAAAAATAACAACAACACCACAAAAATCAACTTAAAGGGGTCATATGAAGCGATTTAAATTTTTCCTTTCTCTTTGGAGTGTTACAAGCTCTTGGTGCATAAAGAAGATCTGTAAAGTTGCAAAGACTAAAGTCTCAAATCCAAAGAGATATTCTTTATAAAAGTTAAGAGTCAACCACGCCTGCCTAAAACGGCTCGTTCTAACACGCCCCCACATGTCTACGTCACGATGTGGGAAGATTTGCATAACGCCGCCCAAATGTTCACGCAAAGAAAGAAGCCGTAACTTTTATTCTCGCTGTAGTATTGTTGTTGCCGCCGCCGCCGCCATGTCGTGAAGGCGCTGTGTGTTTCGTTGTGAAAGTGAAACTACTTTGTTTAGCCTTCCAAAAGAGGACGCTATCCGCTTCGTCATGCCTAGAGCTGATCCATGCTGGTCGCTGAGGAAATACATCAACTTTGCGCTGTGGATCGCCGGATCGGCTTTCACCGTGGACGAAGCGGAGTCCAGCCCGGGGTCGTCACATGTGGTTGCCGCAAGCCCGCCCGTCACGCCGTTCTCAAGCCCACCGGCTGCCGCTCACTCTAGGCCTCCGGCCTCCGCTACACCAAATACACAAAATAATGTTCTTTTTAGCAACATCATATGACCCCTTTAAGATAAGTGTTTGTGTTTGTAATGAAATGTAACCTTGCCATTAATGTTTGTCTATAATGTAAAGTTGTCTTTAATGTTCTTTTAATTAATTTAGATTTTCTTTTAAAAACTCATAAATGTCTTAATTGGTACCTCAGATATTTGAATTATCTTAAATCCAATCCAGGTAAGTTTATGTTTTCAGTTTTTATAGAGCAATATTAAACTTTGCAGTTCATCACTGTTTTCAACTGTTACAGTACATTCTATTTTTTAGGACCATTTCAAAATAAATAAATAAAATGTGAATTTTTCTGTTTAATGCCATTAAGATTCATTCATTCATTCAAAAAGCCTCATTGTTATTTAGCTGTATAAATACTGCTATGATTGAATAATAAATTACATAATCTGTTAGTTCTGAATTTGAAAATGTATATTTTAAGATTTTGCCCCTTGAAGTAGCTGCTATGTAGGTTTTCTTTTTTCCTAATATCCTACAGTGTAGTTAAATACTTCTTTAAAAAAATCAAAGGAAAGCTACATTTTCACTCCACAATGTTGCTGCCATAAGTGGTATTTTTCCTTCTTGCCTCATGGCTCTTGGATGTGCTATTTGCCACTCTTGTCAGCTGTCTCTCAAAGACAAAATCTATAATTTAGCACGTCACTTGAGTGCACAGGTGCTGTACGTTCATGCTGTGTGCAAATTGCTCATCAAGAGTGAGATTCTGGAGATGTTTAAGTGTTTGGCTTCACACATCATGTGTTATTGTTCCAAAGAAAATGCAAGCACTCATTTTGGCTTTTTGGCTATTTCTGTAAAAACCCTGTTTTACAAAGCACCAGGAAATGAGTCTTGAACAGAACCTGAAATTGGGAACCACACAGACTAGTTCATATTTAAATGAGGTAGATTTCCCCTCTCTCTATATTATCTTACTTTATTATTTATTCTGTTCTGTCATCTATATGGAATTGCAGTGGACTGGAGAGATGGGGTTTCCAAACAAATAAGACAATTTGTGGCATCTTACATGGTATAGTCTCACATGATTTGAAAGGAAACATTAATCAGGGACATTTGAATGATATATAGTTGTTCTCTGAGCTGATTTAGTGGTTACTAATTGGAGAAGTGATTGATATGTAGGCATAACTGTGTGTTTTGAAAGCTTCTTACTCTATCATGCCTTATTTGTTTAGTTATGATAATTAGGGTAGTTTAACAGGATAAAGTGTGCTTGTCCAGTCATAAATCATGGGTTAAGCTGAGTCAGAGAAACTGGTCAATATATTTTTTAGGACTCATTGTGATGATGCTGACATAAATTTCACATTGTCATGATTTACTCACACTCATGCTGTTCTGAACCCATAGCCATTCTTTCATCCATCTGACACAAAACGAGATGTTTAGCAGAATGTTGGACCTGCTCTTTCCCATAAAATGACAGCATATAGTCAAATAACATCTCAGATGTCTGAATTGATTTTTACTCAATGTTCCCAGCTGTCTTTAGATTTAGGTCATTATGTCCATACTGATGCACATCTATTTTGTGTTGAACAGGATAATTAATATAGATTTTTAAAATGCATGCGAGTATGGTTTTAATTTTACAAATGGGGCTTGTCTGTGTTGTGTGTAATTATAAGATATAGGATTGTGGACAAGGTTGCTCTATATATCCTTTGCCCCTCTTATAAAAACACTAGGGGGGATTCACTAAGAATGAATGTCACCCACTGATAGCCCTGCTTATTTGCATGTGCAGTCTGCATTGTTTTAGTGCCCGATTCATTAAAGGAATTATGCAAATCAGGTAAATGCAATTCCTGATCTTGTGGGTCATTTCTGAGTGTTAACACAAACACAAGAAAAACACAATGAGAAACACAAATGTCTGTCCATCCGTCCGTCAGTCCGTCAACAAGTTTTATCTTGACAAAACCTTTCTAGTTAAAAATTAGTTAGGTAAATTTCTTTACATTTCAAATTCATTTTAATTTTGTATCCTCTGTGCTACCTCAAATTAAATTCAGGAATTGATTTGGAGTTTAAAAGGCATTCTCAATTAAATTATGAATGCCACACAACCCACAAACATCTCTTTTAAATGACATTTCATTTACCACTTGCATTTTTACAGTAAATTGATGTGATTAGGCTCAGATATCACTGAGTTTCATGAATAAGTGCATAATTGTGAATAATTTGCCTGGTTAAACTGGATTGCTTGTGGTTAGTGAATTAAACACATGTGCTCTTTTGTGCTCTGAAATAATTATAAGTGATTACTGATTATCAGGGCTGGACTGGGACGCAATTTCAGGCAGGGAAATCTCACACTCATCCAGGCCACACCGAAAAAAAGAGGCCAAAATGGTACCTTTTGGGGCACAACAGCTTGTCACTGGAGCAGTACCCTTAAAAGAACATCTTTGTACCTTTTTTACCCCTAATAGGTACATATTAGTACCTTATAGTAATTCGTAAACATAACCCATTAGGGGTAAAAGGCAAAAAGACATCCTTTTTAAGGGTACTGCTCCAGTGACATGCTGTTGTCCCCCAAAAGGTACCATTTTGGCCTCTTTTTTTCTGTATATAGCCTATTGACCCACTACAAATTCTGAAACCACAGATAACCCTATTATTTAAATGGCCATCACATAAAAAGGTCTAAATCATTGGTCTGAGGCCGTGAAAAATAATTAAAGGTTGTCTCTTGAACTGCACCTTCACTTCCCTTTTTACTTTTCTTCATTTTCCCCAATATCTCTGTCTCTCCCTTTTTTTATTGTACCTGTCACTTCTTGACCAGCAGGTCTACTGTTATGAACAGAACTGTGTCCACCTTGTTGCAAAACGACCACCTCATTGCAATTTGTTATCACAGAATGTTATTTATCTTAAAATGACTTAAATACCCGAGATTTAACAAACCTATATTTCATACAAATATATCAAAACAATTTTCTAAAGTGCCTAAAAGTCAAAATCAGTACAATATCTTTTTTTGGAAAAATCCTAATACTGAACACACTATTGCATTATTAGGTTGTGATATTTTTGTGTTGCTGTCTGCTCAAGCTCCCTCCCTTCCTATACAATAAATCCATGAGAATATCTGTCTGATAAATTTATTAATGTAACTTTCCAATCGATAATGATGTCCTTTAGAACAGTATTCTGAATGATGTTAAAAATAGGGTGCCCCTGATAGCCTAACAGGTGCTAGCAGTTTAATACTCAACTAGGTTAATAAAGACAAAACTTAATCCTTAATCTGTATATAATCTAGAGAACAGTAGGAAAAGAATCTCGAAGCAGGATAAAAGAAACCACAAAGAAGATCAGGAAGTGTCATTATTCTAGGGTTAGTCCGTCACAGTTTTTTTTTCACCTGACATTTTTATGTTTGTAATTTCCAAACTTTGCCTTGGACAGCTAGAGTAAAGGCCTGTGCTGTGGATGTGCACTGGATCTATAACAGACATAGTACATCTTAAATCTATCGACAAAATCTATTCAGTTTACCTCCGCACAGGGCCGGACTGGGACGCAATTTCAGGCCGGGAAATCTCACAGTCATCCAGGCCACACAGAAAAAAAAGAGGCCAAACTGGTACCTTTTGGGGTACAACAGTTTGTCACTGGAGCAGTACCCTTAAAATAACATTTTTGTACCTTTTTTCCCCTAATAGGTACATAGTAGTACCTTATAGTAATTTGTACACATAAGGTACTAATATTTACCTATTAGGGGTAAAATGCAAAAATATGTCTTTTTTAAGGGTACTGCTCCAGTGACAAGCTGTTGTACCCCAAAAGGTACCTTTTTGGCCTCTTTTTTTCTGTATATAGCCTATTGACCCACTACAAATTCTGAAACCACAGATAACCCTATTATTTAAATGGCCATCACATAAAAAGGTCTAAATCCTTGGTCTGGGGCCGTAAAAAATAATTAAAGGTTGTCTCTTGAACTGCACCTTCACTTCCCTTTTTACTTTTCTTCATTTTCCCCAATATCTCTGTCTCTCCCTTTTTTTATTGTACCTGTCACTTCTTGACCAGCAGGTCTACTGTTATGAACAGAACTGTGTCCATCTTGTTGCAAAACGCCCACCTCATTGCAATTTGTTATCACAAAATGTTATTTATCTTAAAATGACTTAAATACCCGAGATTTAACAAACCTATATTTCATACAAATATATCAAAACAATTTTCTAAAGTGCCTAAAAGTCAAAATCAGTACAATATCTTTTTTTGAAAAATCCTAATACTGAACACACTATTGCATTATTAGGTTGTGATATTTTTGTGTTGCTGTCTGCTCAAGCTCCCTCCCTTCCTATACAATAAATCCATGAGAATATCTGTCTGATAAATTTATTAATGTAACTTTCCAATCGATAATGATGTCCTTTAGAACAGTATTCTGAATGATGTTAAAAATAGGGTGCCCCTGATAGCCTAACAGGTGCTAGCAGTTTAATACTCAACTAGGTTAATAAAGACAAAACTCTTTAGCGTATTTACAGATGAAACTGACCTGCACCTGAAGCCCTGAACAGGCATTCTTGCTACATTTCGCTGCTTCTTCTGGCCGCTTCCTCTCCTTAATCGAGTCCCGCGCATCGACTCTGTTCGAAACCGTCGTTTGAAGCGCGGAACAGACGTGAGCCGATTCGTACAGCGCAGCGCTGCCAGTCAAGACTAACCGATTTATTATTGATTTATTATCGTATGACAAAATCGGAAATTATCACTTTGGTACATTGAGAAGGCAAAAAATATAAAATATTATTAATAATAATAATAACTACAAACATTTTTAAAAAAATAAAACAGAGCAGCGGGCCAAATCAGCCTCCAGGCCACCAGGAATTTGCCCGGTGCTCCCGATGGCCAGTCCGGGCCTGCTGATTAATAAATATGCCCTATGGTAGTTCAGTTTTTAATCCTCGCCTTTTCAATTTGCTCGCATGTTTTACTGTAGGTCTCCATGGCATCACGACCCACCAGCAAACTCCACAGATTCCCCTCCTCAGTTCATCACAGTGGAAACCCCTCCTGACCGGCGTATCCCACCCACCCAGCCTTCACCTGTCTGCCCACAGGAGCTCTGTCTCAACAGCGGATCCTGTCGGCCCATCTCTCTGCCCAGCGGAGCCTCGTCTTTCTTTTGTGACTGTCCTCTGCACTTCACAGGACGCCTGTGTGAACAAGGTGAGACCTCTAGTTCCCCTCCACATCACAGCGGAAATCCTCCCTACTGAATTACTGAACTACTAAATTAGCCTACATCCCTTAATTTAACTCTAATGAACAGTCTAATTTGGTGTGGAGCTTTAAAACGACATTTCGGTTGATATTGTAATGATAGATACTATAGTACCTCACCTGCTAAAGCAGGCAGTGATCTCCCACCAAATGTTTTGGCTACAGAAGCGGTGTTGGAGGCAGATGCACGGCACATTTTCGCAAAGGAAAATGGAAATCTTGCCCTGTTGTTGGACCAGGGATCACTTTAAATAATTTGTGATGTGATTAAAGTAAGGTTCATGTAAGCAAGTTGTAATGTCAGAAACCCCTCTATCTGCTCACCTCTTGAGTCCTACTACAAATGAGATGGTGACCCTGTCACCTGTGTTCTCCAGATTCATTTTACTTCCTCTGCCTCATGCCAGGATAAGACATGAATGATATTAAATTCTGGTGAGTGGAAAGCCTTTACACAGTGAACCCAATTTGATATTGACTGACACTCAATGTACTGTATTGAACTGCAGAATATGGCAGATTATTTCACACTATAACAATTTACTCAACTCTGAACTGACAATGGACGTTCCTTTTATCAAAATCACCACCTTGTCACCACCAGTCGAGTATTTATTGTAATGTGCTTTTTTATTGTATTTTGCTCCAGCTCCTGCTGACTCACCATGTTTTGCCCTGTATCAATAAGCCAGTGCTCAGGTAAAGAGCTAATTTGCTGAGCTACAAGTTCATGTGTCTCTATTGATGTAACATTCAGATGCTCTGGCGGTGAGATACCTGGCTTCAGATTAATTAAAAATAATTTATTCGTCTCTTGTGTTTCTATTTTTGTGCACTGCCAGACATTGATTGATGTGTTTGTGAACAGATCAGTTCAGTTCCTGTATGAGAAAAAAAAAAAGACCTTTTCAGATGAAGCTGTCAGTATTTTCACATTTGTTTACTATACTGATTATGGAAAAAAGCTTTAGAGGCACAAAAATTTTATTGAGAGCTATTTTTTCACTCATTAAATGGTTTACAAAGTTGTAAAATATAACCTACATTAGAGGTCTTGACCTTCTCAGTTATATCCAACAATTGAAATGAAAGCTAAATCAAAAATGCCGTAATCTGTTGAATAAATGTTCAAACCATTTTTACAGTTTTTTATTTTTATTTGCTAATTATAATATTATAAAATATTATTATAACAATTTTGTTTAATTTTATAATGAAACACATAAATTTAATATTTCGAAAAATGTATTATTCTTTAATGAATATATATATATATATATGTATGTATATGTGTGTGTGTGTGTGTGTATATACTGTATATATATATATATAATATTCTTTTTATTTTATATTTTATTTATTTTTTGCTTTCATAAAATTTTGCCTATTTTATTTATTTAATGTTTATTGCTAGAAACACACATTAGGATTTTTAGTGGCCAAGTTTGGCTTCATAAATTGCAAATCTGAAAGAAAATATATATATATAGAAAATTACATATATAAAAACGTGTATATATATAATTAATATATCATATCATTTAGTTTCAACATTTTATAAAGGTTAAGCACCTCCTGTTACTGGCCATTTGTTGAAAATGAAGAAAAACTGCTACGTTTTTAGGAGCTTCTATTTTGCTTTTTTTAAGCTCTGTTTTGCACTCTCTGCATAGAAAGTTGCACTTTAAATCTAATCATATGTATAGAGATGACCATATTATACAAGCAAGCACATATCTGAAGACATCTTTGCTTTTATTTATATTTATTTCATTGAAAGGTATAGTAACATTACACCATATTGCATTCAATGCAACTGCTTTTGGAATAACTGATGAAAATGTTTTTCATTAAAACAAGGGGACCAGTCATAAATTCAAATTCTGATGGAAAGCAGTTTTCCAGTCCTTCCTCGTAGGTCGTCCTCTTTATTGTGAATGCTGGTTCCTAAGTACATTTGACAGTAGTTGAAAGAATCTGCTTTCTCCTTTTTCTCATTTTTGTTATTTTTTTCTTTTCCCAGGCATGCACAGCAGAGCTTTTAGTTTCAAAGCTGTATTGTTTTGTTTTGCTTTTTTTTTTTTTTAATTTTGACCATGTCAGCCTTATATAGCTATCAAATGGTCATTCAAAGTAGGAAAGACAGATAAAGAACTTGGAAAACAAACAAGCAAGAAACACTGCAACAACAGGCTTCACAGTGAATAAGATTAAGATAAACTAAAAAGATATTATAAGCATACCATCAGTAATAGTGCAGTTAATAATATATAAGGCATGATTAGAAGCATGACTAGGGTAGAAGAGACAAAATTCAGCGGCAATTAGTTGCATTTTCGAAATGAAATGCCTAAATTATCACTTTTATGTCATCTGTTGTCTATGAACAACTTGTCTTGACTATTGTTCACTGATTATTCTGTTAATATAACCTTCATAGAAATCGTCTCAGGTTACTTATGTAACCATGGTTCCCTGAGTAGGGAACGAGACACTGCGTCCTCTAGGGGTCGCTATGGGGAACGCCTCGTCGTGACCCGTGTCTGAAGCATACATTGAAAAAACACCAACTCGTTGGCCGGCGACAGCCATGACGTCACTAC